TGCACTTGCTGCTGCTGCTGCACTTGCTGCTGCTGCTGCACTTGCTGCTGCTGCACTTGCTGCTGCTGCTGCAGTTGCTGCCTTATCCATTTTAATATAACACTATGTATTATTCTACCCACCCTAATGTGTATCATACTGCTATATGTTTACTGTACAATTACGACACCATACATTAGAATTCATGATTCAGGCTTTTTTTGCAGTATTGGACTATAAAAACCATGGCTGTAAAGTGTGATCTAGTTCCAAAGCTGGCATGTGACATTAAAAGCTGGGTTTTTATGCCATACATTATTAAAGCTAGAAATGTCCACTGGTTAGACTGTATTGGGGAAAAAAGTGATTATTGTAGAAATGTACACGAGTTAATGTTTACTGCGGGGTAAACCTCCCAGAAGTTGAGGCATCACTCACAAGAGCATACGTTTGTACACATGTTGTGCTTTAATTTGTTAACTATATTTGTATATTCAAAACACTGTAAATTATAAAATAATTTGTAAATTCTAAAATAATTTAGATTATTTTGTACGTGTCAAAGTTCAAGTTTAATTTACATTATTTTATCAATCCTCTGCTCGATGAAGGCCTCCTCATGCAATGTTGATCATGAAGGTTCGCTTGACGACCATACTTAACCATGTTGCTCATTGCGGGTTGGTGAAGTGGGGTAAGGGGGGTCACAGTACAGGTTCAGATTTCACTCGTGACTGATGCTAGCCATGGCCAGGAATCGAACCCAAAAAAAAGCTGCTTTCAATATTTTTGCGTATTTCATACTTATCAAGTAATGAGGACATTAAACAGCGTAGCATGTTATCGAAATTGTGGAATGAGAGTTTTAAATTATTAAATATCTTGCGCACTTCGAGCCCCGTCGTTCATAACCTAAGAAATAAAATAGAGAAGTGTCAGACTTGCAATGGTTAAGTCACAACCCCTTTCCCACTGGCACAGCCGAGCTCACTGCAGGACCCTCACAGTGCCGGTGGTTTTCCACTGCCTATTTTCCATATTGAGCCAGAACCAAACCATGCTACACCAGCCTCACAAGACATTTGAATCAGGCTCAGGGCCAAATAGGCCCGAGAGCGGGGCTATCGAGGCATGCATTGCGTGCGACGTCAGTTCCGTATACTATGAGTGCACAGCGTTGGTGTAATCTACATTTTGTCTCGCCTCCTGCATTGCATAGCGATGTCGGTGACACGACTCGGCTTCTGCAGTTGGGGAAAAAAAACCCAACGCCTCCTGTGCAGGCTCGGCCCCAATGCGACTCGCTTGCACAGTGGAAAAGATGTACAGGACTATCTTAGGTTTCGTAGTGGCAGCCAAGTAAATAAAACAGATAACCACCAAACAAGATCACAGCCGTTACCACAGCATTACCTGTAAATAGCCACAACAAAAAAGTGCTAAGTCATGCTAAAAGCATCGCTACACTTTATTTGCGTTGGAATTCGATGGCATTTATAAATAATTTTACACTGGTCAAGCAGTTCCTGCTGCTACCCGCAGCGAGAACTAGCCTGTAAATAACCACCTGCATTCATCCTTTCCACATACCTGTCTGCCACGTGGACACATACAATATTATCCATTCTGTTTCTATTACGGGGGGAGCAGAGTGCAGTGGTTCACGAACGGCACCGTGAACTTGGCAACCCGAATTCAATTCACCGCCATAGCTAATATCAGCGATGAGTGATATATCAATCTGTCCTGGAAACCCCCCCCCCCCACCAACTTTCACCAACCCACAATGACCAGGCCATCAGTGTGAATTATGGTAAAATCTCCCCCATTGACCGATCTGGCATGGGGAGGCCTCATTCATGTAGCAGATTGACAAAGGGCTGCAGATGGATTCATATATTTTATAAACAACTTTTATTTGAATAAATGGCTCTCATTAGAACGTAAGGGCAGTGAATTGGAAATCCAGTGATGAGCCAGAACATTCGAGGACAGATGCTGGACTGCATAAACAAGCACGTGTGGGGTCAATGATTTGTCTCAGCACAGAAACATTAGCATCAGCGGTTAACGTGCAAATAATGTACTTTTTTATTCTATGCAATTGTAAAAAAAGTCGACATTATGTATACATTTTCATTGTATTTATTCTGACTGCCACCTACAAATTATTACCTGGATTCGTTATTATTCCACACAGTCATGCAAATAAAGTCGTTATGCGGTAGAATACAAATATGGAGTGCATATATGGATGAGATACGGGACCGGACTATATTTCATCAGCAGCAGCCACAGCCATGAGCTATCCACTGGTGGATGAAGGTCTCCCTAATCCATTGCCATCTCTCAAGGTCTATATTTGTGAAGCTCAAAAAAGTCAATGTGATTTCCCACTCAAATTCACGTTTATGTTTACCATCTTGAACTAGCGGAATAAATAAAGTTCATATGGTGCAGTGATGGGACACTCACGCAAAACACTTTGTTTCCAAATTTTGATACTTGATGACAGATGTACCGTGTGATCAAAAATCCCGGTGCCCTTGCACAACTGCACATTTGAAAAGCAGAGAAATGTTACTTGTTTTTTGTCCTCTCAATGTATAAAGAGAAGTGAAATTCATCAACCAATGAAGTTGTAACGTGATGAAAAACTAGACGTTGAGAGAAAAGAGTGGGTGTTTCAGCAAGACAATGTATGACCACACTCTGCATGAGGAATGAAGATATTGTTGGGAAAGCATGGATCGGATGTTCCGGAACATCCAGCACAAAATCCAAGTCCAGCGCTGTAAAAATTCCATCTATTTAGACCTTTGAAAGAAGCCAGCAGCATAGAAATAATTATATACCCCCATGACATTCGGAAGTTTGTGGGCAGCTGAAACAAGTGTATTCTAGCAACGGTTGACCACGTGGACTTCCAGCGTGGTGATGTAACCAAGAAATCTGCTCATGTGTAGGCGCTAGGTGGATTTTTGCATCGCGAAACCGTAAAAAACCGATGGCTTGGGAAGGCCTTAATCCAGAAGTGGGCAGATCATGGCTGATAAGGACTACAGTATGCAGATAACTATATCGTTTGTCATGTTGAAGTTAACAAATGTTTTATGAAAAATACTACTTTTGTCTCATTACATATTGAAATACCATCGTAAAATATAATGTATATGGAGATGTCACGTTGAAGATAACTTTACTGCTCATGTTGATGACACAAAAAATCTAATGGGTGTGTTTTATGACAACATTGAGCGCATGTAGATAAATCACACGTGTTCATGTAATGTATGCTCCCTGCATCCAGCTGGTTAGTGCCTCACAACTCATCTGTCATGCCAATAAAGCGCACTTGCATTACTGCACTTTTATACCTTTGCAAGCCACTGCTGGATAAGGGCCTCCCCACGCCGTGTGGGCCATGGGGGATGTTTAGCCACACTTCACCACGCTGATCAGTGCAAGTTGAAGGTGGAGAGCGGAGACATGGGGGCACTGAAATACGGTACAACAGATTCAGCTGCACTGCCCTCTACTGACAACGTAGCCCCAGGTTATGTATTACCTGAACGTGATTTTTTTGTTAAATGTAAGATACTGAAGCGCAGTTTGCATGTATTGTGTTGGATAGTCTAAAAAGCAGCGGCTTCTCAAAACTCCAGCTCTCATGACCCCCTATTGTGCAGCTTTCCAATATTACCAACGATCAGATGAGTGCAGCGTGCATTGAATACATTTTCACATAATTGGAAAAAGTTTATCATGGAAAACTGTATTGTGGGGGTGGAGGGGAGTTTGTGAAGACTGAGGTTTGAGAAGCACCCAAGATCATTGCACATGGGGTCCGCGGTGGCACAGAAAAACAACACAGCCACTGCATCAACAACTGCAAGCTGCTTACTCGAAGCCAAGGATTTATAGCACAATATCTGTTACGTCATAATCTGTCGCAAACATGTGCTGGCAAATGGTTAGGTTGTTAGCAGATGCGAGTTTGACTTCAATCAAAGGGAACAGGCGAAACAAAAGTGACCACAGATGACGGCGTTGGGTGGTAATTCCAGGTTACACCTGCGGGTTTCTAATGACTTCATTTCTCTCCTCGTTTTGGCAAAGGAAATAATTGCTTTTCCCTTGGGTGGAGACCAGTGTCTAAGTCACCTCGCTTCTAAAAATAGAACCGTACGACTTCACGGCGCGTTTTCGCACACTTTCTCGAATTTGTACAACTGGGTCAGGTTTTTGCTGAAACGTAAAACTCCACACAAAAAAATTAGCCATCGCGACTTGAAGAGTAATAAGATCAATTTATGTTAAACCAGGTCACAATGACCCACTTGAAAAACATCTACTATATACAGAAGGCAAGTATTTATAATAATTTGCGGCACTTTGTCCAATCCCTTGCTGGATGAAGGCCTCTTCACATCACATCATGTCTGTCGTAGAGGTAATTTAGAATAATTTACCACTCTTGTCACTATGGGCTGTGTGAACTTGTGGGTGGGGGGACAGATCACAGAACCGGTTCAGGTATCACTCGCACCCCTGATGTCAGCCATGGCCAGAGGAATCAAATTCAGGTAGCTGAGATCACAACACAGAACATGAAACAACAACGCTACCCCCTCAACACAAGTATTTACACTGTGAGCTCCCGCGAAAGGAATGCTGAATAAGTTCACCATGCTCATAAATCATTGACATGCTCTGCTGCTACCTTACAAATCGCACAGTAAAGTTGTAGAATGGACAACAATATTAAAAGAACGTTTGCAAGGGAATGCCAGTGCTTGTCAAGAAGTCAATGATTACACACGATAGCTACGTGGAAAGAAATTAAAACACAATCCACAGTTTACCTCCCTTACCTTGCTTGCTCTGTCACACAAAGCGCCGCCAGTGTGTATGGGATGTAACAAACAAAAACAATTCAGATATTAACTTGAGAGCCGTCTCAAGTAAAACGGTGGCAAGCTTGTGTAAGCTAAACACATGGTGGTGGTGGGGCATTGTACCTGCTTCACTGAATACGACGACGTAAAGATACACTCCAGCAGCAGCAGTAGAAGCAGCAGCAGCACTGTGATGCTTGATACGAGAGAGGAACCCGGCGGGCAAGTTGACACACGCTGCTATACAAGCCCCGGGTAGTAGGGAGGGTGGCTTCCACCCCTCTCTCTTCTCCGACAAAACTCTTCAAAAATCAAAAGGCAGCAGCTGCGTCGCACATTAACGCTCCACAGAAGCCACGTGCTGTGGACCGACGACGAGGGCAAGGCGAGGAAGGGGACATCATCCGACGGAGCTGACAATGCCTGGGCTGGGAAACGCCACGGAGTGGAGCATCGCTTTGAAATGGGATGGGCTGTGACGAGAGAGAAGCCGTGCGCTGTGGTGTGGTGGTGGTGGTGCTGGTAGGGGGGGGGGGAGATTAAGCAGCGTGGGACGGAACCACCAAGAAGGAGATTGGCAGTCCTGCCCAGCCGTTCGTTCTCCCTCTGTCTCTCTCTGTCTCTCTCTCTCCTCCCGTCTGATCACCTCACCTACAATTTCGTGGCCGAGCTAAGGTTTGCGTAGGCGAACCTGAAAAAAACCGGCACGTTGCGCAATAATATTGGGTGGGAATTTGGTGGGTTTTTTTTAGTTTGTTAGCGCCTCCAACACGGATTCGGTGAATCATTCGAAACAGGAGGGGCTGGAAACACACGGCATGTGACTCAATGTTCACGTGTACGTTTATTGTTAAAGGGTTTTTTTTAAAAAATGCCATCAGTTTCTTTTACACGCACAGGGCTCCGCCAGACTGGCAGATGGAAATAAAAAATAAATAAAACACGACAGTCGGCAAAGCAACCAAACAGGTCTATTTTAATGCGTGTCATGCAGCAAAAAAAGGCATCCGATTTCTCACAGACACGCCGCATATAAGGCGCTGCATCACAGCGCGTTGTGCTCGCCTTAGTTTCAATTAATAGTCACTCCAATTCAAGAACGACGTCGAGAATGAGTAAAAGGTTTTCCCTCTTCGCCACTGTGATGTTAAAAGGTGCCTCGGGTCGCAACCATCGCCCAACATCTTTGGCGCTGTGCCCATGGTCATTCTGAAACGTTTGTGTTTTTCTCATGGCAGGCCTGGGACCATTAACGCAGGACAATACTTCTCGGGGCATCGCACCGCCATCGTTCATGCTCACAAAGGCACGTGGGGGGCTCGATGATTGCGACTAAAATGAAAATAAACGTGTTAGAGTTCAAGTCTCCCAATCATCCACAACAAATGTCGAATGTAGACAACACATATCAATCGCTTCTACGCGAGGCGCACAATGAGAATCAATGAACAAATGCAGGCACTGCCCCATGGAACATTGTAAATGTTAAAACCCACCTCCCTCCCCCTACTATATATAAAAAAAAGTACTGTATAATTCTTGAAGTGACTGTCCGACTCCTGTGCCATGCAGTATCAGCCACTGAAGCATCACGCCTGTTGCATCCTACTAAAATAACATTCCGTTTTGAGGAGTGACTTAGTATTGTTGACTTTAAACCAGGAGTGGGGAAACTTTACTTACAGAGGGCCAAATAAGACTTGTCAAATACCTTTGGCCCGGCCACACAATTACACAACTCACTTATCCAATTGTAATAAAGGTCGTTGAAGCGACCAAAAGATACCCATGTCGACCAAGTATAAAAAAAGCCATTGCAGTGACAGAATTTACTGAGCTATGCTAAAATTAGAAACATTGTTGCATGGTCAAAAGTATTTCCATCTAGTACCCGACTAGTACAGCTAAGATGGTTGTAGTGATGGATAAACATCGTTTTCTGGGCATTTTTAAGTGGTTGCCCTCATTTGGCCATGGGATGTATGTAAAGTGTGTAATGAAATCCGTCTGTTCCCCCACCACTTCTATAAACTATTTTTTAACAGATCCGAGTGAGGCCCGTCTGGGAAAATCCCACTATTTTCTTCATTGGCACACTTGAACAAGGAAAAATAAGTTAAGTGAGCACGAAAAATGTAATCACATCATCGCCCACAGAAGCACACTTGCCAATGACGTGGGCGTAATCTAACATTTCCATTCAGCTCTGAGTGGCATAGCAATGCCGATGCGTTGGAAGTGGAGTATGAGGACAGCCAGATTGAGATGTCGCCTACGTTATTGGTTTGCTACTGATGTGTAAACATAGAAATATTCACCCCCTTCCTAGTGATTCCATGAATTGCTACAATTTGTGGTGTTGGTTAGGTTAAAGAACCAATAATTTTTTAATCTTGTTTTTTCTCACATTATTTACGTTGATTCTCCTTTTCGATGTCTTGCCGGTATAGTTTTGGTTGCTCCATTTGACTAAAATGGTACGTTATTAGCACATAATTAGCAGAATAAAATAATATCTTTCATTCTTTTGTCAATCTTTGATGGATGAAGGCCTCCACACTTTGGTCTCCAACTGTCTGGGTTTGATCCAGGCAGGCGTCGACCGGACAGTCTGGGAAATTGACATCGTGTTCCGGTGGCAACAATTGATTTGTACCGAGGTCTGGTGGCATTGTGTTGAACTTTGTTACGGTAATGTATAATGCACAGTTTTGATAGCACTAGGCTGAGAAATACAGATGGCAACCCGACTCCACACGTAGCTTTGACTTTGGCAGTTGTACAGCTGATACTTCACGACGCTGATCCGTACCGGGTGGTGAAAGGGGGTGGCCCAGGACCTGTTCAGACAGCACTTGCCACGAATATCAACTGTGGCCAGGAATCAAACACAGTACATTGTGCTAACGACAGTGCCAAAGCTCCAACCCGAGTCTAAATTATTTGGTGATACTGCGTTTGGCAGTGGGGAACAAGCACAGTTAACAAAATAAACGCATCAATTAACACTGCCTTCAAATGAAAAATATCTAACAGACGACGTTTTGGGTAATGGACCTTCTTCATAGCACATAGAGACTAGAAAGAGAAGATACGAGTTGGGGACTGCACCCTGGTACAGTGCTGTATACGACTAATAATATTTGCAATGATAGTAAATGCGTACAGTAAATAATACATTTCGATTTAAAGCTTTCGTGACTGCAGGGATTCATCTTCTTGGTTCTTTCGGTAAAGTCACGTAGAAGGGAAGTAATAAAATAATAAAAATAAAACATAATAATTATTTTATTTTATTATGTTTTATTTTTATTATTTTATTACTTCCCTTCTACGTGACTTTACCGAAAAAACCAAGAAAATAATACATTCTTCGACACACAATTCGATGCGTGTATCGCAAGTGTAAGGTATAACCGATTTAGATCCATGCGTCGTTAGATACTTCACTGGTTTGCTTGACATAAAATGCAGGTGCAAGTCTCCAAAATGGAAGGTGCATGCATCTCTATCGATGCGGTACCTCCACACGGCCCTATCTAATCACATAATCGGCAGCAGACCGTACATTACCACACTAACAGCACAGCTGCTGCCACCGTGCCTGTCCCTTCATAATATTGTTTGAAAGGACCACATGTGTTGTTTTTGGAAATCTTTTGTTTATACTGGACTGTAATATGTGTATTGCAACCACATGGCTATTTCTTTAAACTCAAACGCAAATGCTTATAGTGGACTGTATATTTTTCAAACAGATTAACTCCCACTGTCTCAACTATGGTACGTGCAATTTGTTGAAATGCACGACTTATTGTCTCTTATCTCGCTGTTATTATGGTGCTGTAAAGCAGCAATTATTTGCCCTAATTATCTCTCAATTATCTTTCAATTATGTCGAAATTGTCTTCAGGATCCACCCACTGCCAATTAAATGCCTATTCAACAGGTTTTCTGTGATATATTTTCGCGGGTTGTGGTCATTTGTAGCTTTTAGCACCAATTTACATAGAATTCTCACTCAAGTGTAGTTATTTTGAAGCTTGGGGCGACTTTAAACACAAACGAAATCCACTCACAGTTGTATATATATTTTTTAACCAAACTCTAGCCCGAGCTACATGTGTTGCATTTTTTTTTCACATGCAAATATAAACTGGCATAATGTAATTGGAAGCTAAAAAAATTAAGGACAACAATCAGCACCCTTTTATCAGTCCACTGCTGGATGTAGGCCTCCCTACACCTGGCAGCAATGGAGGTTGTTTGACCTAACTTCACCATGCTGATCATGAGGGTTGGTGATGGGGTTGCCCAGGCTTCGTTCAGATGTCACTCACCACTGAAGCTAGCCCGTGGTCAGTATCAAACCCAGGCCACGAGGTTGCCATAGTGCAACGCACTAACCACCGCGCTTCTGATCATGTACACAAACAACACCATCCAACATTTAAAACGTTTCATGGTTTACAATCATTGTATTTCCTCAAAATGAAAGTGAACATCGACTTATTACTTATTTTCAGTCATGAAAATTCGATACTCCTATGGTAGGTACCAGTTATTCCAAAGGACAGCCACTGTTGCCTTTCCACAAAGTGGTACTGTACTCATTCATTGACTAGAGAGGGACCTGGATTTGAACTCACAACCTGCTCTAACCACTGCACCATCTGGTCACACAATTCTATTTACCTGCAGAGTACCATATAAGTAATTACTGTAAATGGCTCCAGTTAAGTGTGTGTATGCTAGGCACATTTAAAATGTATTGCTCGTTTAAAAAATGTCATTTTACTGTAATGTGTCTGGTCTCGTAGCAAATATGACAATCGTGGCAGTAAAATATTAATTTAAACAAAACACCGGCTACACCGCGCCGCAATAACTTGACAGACTAGAATATTAAACATCATCTTGTGTCACTTAAAATTCAAGCGTCTGGAAAAAGGCCACCCACGACCCATAAACATAATTAATGAGCAAGCACATTTGAGACTGACTGCTGGATACTGTATTACAAACAGGAAGGCATAAAGAAGGACCTCATCTTTCCATTTGCCAGCAATCATTTGTTCTTTGGCAAGGGACATGGCAATGGGTGTAAAGCCAGCACCAACCGGGGGACTACGTTTTTGTTCCTCATTCCTCATGCAAAAAAATAGCACACGGGTTGCACTGACCTGTGGGATCTTGCTGGCAGTTTTGGGGTGGACTGGTATTCAAACACTTGTGCTGCCTGTTACCTACTTCTGTGGCCCATGCTTCATAACAATGGTAATGGGGCTGCCAACACTCAAGCCGACAAAAGCGAGGGGAAAAACAGCAAAATATGAAAATGATTGGTTGAAAATATATATTTGCTCATATGTCACCCTGTTGCTTTATTGATCACGCTGATTTAAACTAGATGGTGGATTTGAGTGCTTTCCATTGCATCCACACCCCAATTCAAATACTGTAGTCGTATCGTGAGTTAAAATTGGGTGGAGCGGTGGTGTTGCAGTGCCTTTGAACCCAGTGAACTGAGTTCAGTTCTGGGTCACAGTGATATATCAACTAGTCCTGGGCACCCTCCCGGCTTCACAGCTCCACTTCAGGGCTGATGGGAAAGGGAGGGAGTCAGTGGTGCAGTGGTTAGCACACTGTGCTATGAACCCGGTGGCCCGAGTTTAATTCCTGCCCATGGATAACATCAGCTGCCATTGATACCTGAACTGGTCCTGCCTCCCCCACCACCATGCCCACCTCACCCCCACCGATGTCACTAAACTCTCAATGGTCAAGTACGGTGGGACAAAAAAAATATCCAGCAGTGGATTAACAACGATCTGTATTTGTGTTACTTGTATTACATAAAGTAGTCTCGTGTCCAACAATAGGTAAACTCACGCTGCGTT